CGACAAAGTGGTGAGTGATTCTATAGAGGATCAGGAAGCAGAAGGAAACATGCCAACTGCCCCAGATAGAACTCAGTCCCGCTGGTACGTGCCTAATTATTAGGTCGTTGCAAAAGAAATGCAGGATTTTGCTTGCTTGTATTTCATACTTATTTTATTCCAATAATATGTCATTTTAATATGAAGTGTCTATTCGGAAGCTCATCTCATGATCTTTCTAAGTGATACTCCAAGATTGGCTGTAATTCATTTTATTATAATTTTTATTGACATTTTATTGCAGATGTCGAAAGGTGAATTTCGCACTATTTTCTTCTATTAGTTCAAGCTAGGACGAAACGCTGCCGATACAGCTCGGAACATCAACGGAGTTTGGGGTCAAGGAAGTGTCAACGAATCTACGGTCCAACGTTGGTTCCGGAAGTTTCGCTGTGGCAACACCAGCCTTGAAGATGAACTTCATGTTTGGTGGTCTGCCGCCGGTCTCATCCATCACAGCATCCTGAATCCTGGTGAAACAATTACGGCAGAGAAGTACTGTCAACAAACGACGAAATGCATCAGAAGCCTTAAAGCATGTGCCCAAGGTTGCTCAATATGAAGGGACTCCACGATTTCGGACTCCCACGACAATGCCCGACCACACTTTGCACAATTTACCCTCCAGAAATAAACGGATTAGGCTATGAAACTTTGCCTCATCCACCATAACTCACCAGACCTGTCGCCATCGATCACCACTTTTTCAAGCATCTGGAACTATCTTAGAGAGAAAGGCTTCAAAAACCAAGACGATGTCAAAAACGCCTTCAACGATTTCGTGGCCTCTAAAAAGAAGTTACAACCAATCTTGAAGTATCATTTAGAAAGAGCATTAGATAAGCTTTTGAATGATATGTAACATTTACATTTTATTGGAATAAAATAAGTACAAAATACAAAAAAACGAAATCCTGCATTTCTTTTGCAACGACCTAATACCTCCATCTCCAACACTACGTCCCATCCGCACAGCTGACTCTCCGATAACAACCCGACGACCGTACAAGCGACAATTTCCATTTTCTTATAATGCAGCTTCGTTGTTCACTGAAAGGCAGGCCTCGAAGGCGGAGTTGAGGCGAGTCAGAGGAGGAAGGGAGGCGTCACTGAACCTATGTTGCACTATAGCGTCCCTCCACAATTTTTTGCCGCGGAACTGTTTTAAGGTTGCTCGTCGGACCACAGTACCCTTAAGACGCCGTACTTTCACCTTCTATACCTAATCGCGGACAGTTTTCAAGTCCTAGACAGCGTGGAAAAAAAATGGTGGACCGTTCGCAATTTTCGTCTTCCAATTTTCAAAGTTTCAGATCAAAGTGCTGGAATATGGGAAAACAGAAGAATTATTCCTGGATTGTAGCAAACTTGATTCCAGATTCCACTTTTATATTGCATGCGAGAAGTGAGAGTTGTCAGTTTTCGAAATAAATTTTCTGTTGTGACTTGTTACGCATGCGCTACGCAGTGGGTGAGAAGCTCTGCAAATGAGGCCAATAGAGACACTCTGACATTTCCGAATGAGTCGCGCCACTGCGATTTTCAGCATACAGGTGGGCCAAAAAAAATCACTTTCCTTCCTTGACTTTCGAGGCGTTATAAGTGACACTTCATGGAATTCTGACCGGACGTTTTTACTACCATATGAAGAGCATAGTAAATACTACCGTGATTCTCCGTCACAGCCTTCCGGAGGAGCGCCGTCGAGATATTCCGCCATGCAGCCGTGATTCTGATACCTGGCTTCAGCGGGATAGTTGATTTCTCGGCCACTGTAGACCGCCGATACTTCTGACTGAAAGGATTGGTAGATCCCTCAGAGAAATGCTCCGCGATTAGATGCGAAGTCACTCTCCCTCTGCGAGCAATTACAATCTTGGTCCCTATTGGTCCTCTGTGGAGATGGGGGGGAGGGGGATGGGGAGGGGGGGAGGGGGCTGCGTGCTTCACTGGGACGCGACGGCGACTGCTATTCGCCAACTGACATTCCACCCCAAGGGATTTCGGGCCAGCTACTCATGACGAGCCGCTCGAGGTAGCGTACAGCAGCTAGAGAGGAGAGTTAGAAGTTATTGGTGATATCACGCTGAGACGCAGATGACTTTAGCGGATCGTTTTAGCAGTTGCAAACCCTGACGAATGTATTCACACCAGAGTAGGCGTGACATTTGAACATGGCACGGAACTGGTTATTCGTGGAATATTCCAGTATGGGACAACTGTCATCTTGTTCTGTGTTGGACAGAGCACGACAACGGTTGTGTCAAGATGAAATATCTCACCAGAAGCATAGACCCCATCAGGTTATGTTGAAACATGAGGCCACGCCTACCCGGTCCCAGGGATTTCGAGTACAGAAAGAAGCATTCCTAAACACAAGGCTATATAGCAATTGCGAGAAGTTCAACATCATTCCAATACCGGCATTGAGCGCAAGCCAAACCCGTTTTCGAGTCCGACAGTCTCCACGAGACAGCCTCTGATATGATAAAATCAATTGTTGCCGTTATTCTATTGCTTTTACCGCTGACTACCCCAGCTCAACAAATTTCTGCATCAGAATTAGGTAGGTGTGACGTATATATGCATATTTTGAAGCAGGGGGTGCAGATCAGGCGGTGGCAAGTGGCGCCCAAACCTGCTCGAGTCCTCCATTTTTCCGTGATCTCTACTGGAGCCAGATTCTTCTTATCATGAGGGGAATGAAGCCTTGATATTCACAACGACTTGTACTCGTGAGCTACCGCGTAGTTTTAACAAACTTCCAAATCGTTGTGAACCCATTGGGGGGGGGGCGGGTTGTGCCGCTGGCCGCTGCGGAAAGGGAGAGGTCGTAAACTCAGGGTCGGTGTGCACAAAACAGCACAAAAAAAGTCATCGCTAAGTTTGATGAAGCGAGCGGAAAGCTGCAGCGGGCCCGGAAGTAGGGAAGACTGAAAAATAGTCAAACATTTGATTGCCATATCAATAGTTCGCATGAACTCGCAAGTGCCTAGATGACTAAATAGTACATCTCAAATAGATTTGAGCGTATTGACCCTTCCAAACCCTAAACGAGCATCTACTTGCATAGACAAAAACAAACTAAGATTACAAGTCACACCTTTCCGCCACCTCGGTGTAGAACCGTAATGCATGGCACCCATTGGGACCGAATCTGATCTACTTTGACTCATTTCAACGAGAATATGTGTTTTGAAGGCCTATTGGAGTGCGAATGAGTACCCTTACAATGGCATGTAGGGGAGCCCAGCTTTTGAATGGCACAGAATGTCTCCCGGGAGTGACTCATTCAAAATATCTTCCGAACTAGCGGGTTTTCGGGAAAGTGTATAGCTCTTTGATCACAGGGAACACTAACTAGGGAGGTGACACAATCTCTTCCCAGATTCGCTCCCTGTCCAACGGCGCTGGCGGCATGACCCGGGCCATCCGTCGCATCCTGACCTCCCTATCTGAACGCGCTGATTATCTGCGGCCTACCCCCGGCGAGCTTTTGGCAGAGGGGAAAACTAGTGTTAAAGGGGGGTTTCGAAAGTGGATCGATGTTACACCTTGAAGATCAGCGTGACAGAGGTCGAGAGAGAGCACTCCTGTGTGAACTGCCTTGCAGCCGCGTTCCCGTACAGCTTTTAGCGGAATAGAGGCCAAGCTCGCTGCAGTCTGCGACAGAATACGTACTCGCACATGGAAATGAAGAATCCCTGAAGCTGAGTGTACAACTTGTTCTCGAAGACCACTCATAAGGGGGGTCGGACTGAGAAAGCAAGGCCCAATATGACCCACGCAAGAAGAAGGAGGAACAATCATAAGTCTGAACCTATTCGCCCGCCCCAATGTGATCGTGGAATATGTGGTCCTCTTCGATTTGTTTGTGCTACACCGTGATAGTACCGGTTTGCTCATCACCCAAGACAATGGATGAAGCATGGAATGGTCAGCTCTAGAACAGATCAGTCAATGCGCTGGAAACTTACGTCAATCAAAGACCCGTTCAACTCTTCAACAGTGATGTCATTCACTGGTACGACCTTCCAAGCTTTTTCCTCCGATGGCGTGGAAATAGGTTCTCACTAAACAAACTAGGACACGCCGGCAATATCTTGGCGATCTCCGGGCGAGCCTGAATAATATTTACTCACATCTGGCCGATGACGGTAACCGTTCAAGTGTCGTGAGTACAAGGAGGCTCACCTGATCGATCCAACTCCTTCACTGGAACTTCGGCTTAACGGTAGCGCAACGTCAGTATCTTATTTATGGAGCTCACGAGATCTTACATAACTGCCGTTTGAATTGAACGAGGCCTTCAGTAGTAGTGAGCTTCCTAAATGTACTTCAGTGCACTTTTTCATAAACCAGCAAGGAAAAAGGGAAAACGAGGGAAATCAAAGAATTCCCATCATGCACCCATGCATCGATCCTGATTAATATGAGGATATCCGAGTGTCATGGTCACACGCCTTCGGGACTCAGTAGAACAATGGATAGGGATTGTTCATAACTACTGTATCGTTCTGCTTGAGAGTCGATTTTAGAAGTGCGCCAATGTCACAAAGTGAGGGTTACGTGAAGATAATATTCAGAGCATCGACGAACGCGCGTGCATTTCAGGGTAGCACGTTATAACCCGCAGAGCGACTGGTATGGGTAAAAAGTAAGGAGAAAATGTACCCAAAGGGGTGGCAAGGCACCCCATCGTGAAACCTGCCGCATTAGATCATATTGTGTGCCTTCTACAAAAAGTTAGATTCGGGCACTTTGAAGATATTTCCAGTGATTCCGGCAAGTTTTTTTTTAATATTGATAAGTTATTGGGTTGTCAGCTGTGACGATTCTCTCAATTAATTTTACGCACAATCAAACAGTTTGGTTTGTGTTGATTACGGTGTGTACTCTACACTGCTTCTAGGGTATGAGGCGCGTTATCAGCACGCTTGAAGAGAGTGCGAGTAGGCGCAATGCGAGCCGAAAGTATGGAGCACGGCGGTGTGTGTGTCGTGGTTATTTGATTCTTTGAGAGACCTGCTGATGCGGATAAAGGAAAGCGCCTTCCTGAGTGAAAATATCCAAGTGTTACAGGCGGTAACAGATGAACTAGAGATAACAGACGAACAGAGCAGACAGCCCAGAGAAACCATAAAGAGGAGTCAATTTTCTTAGAGTAGAGTTATAGATAGAAAAGACAGACCCGGAAAGCTGCTATCACGGGCCCAGCGAGTAGCGGGAATCACACACGAACAAATAGTCAACAGTTTGATTAGCACATATCAATAGTTCGCATTAACTCGGCAAGTGCCTAGATGACTAAATAGTACATCTCAAATAGATTTTTGACCGTAAAAATTATTGACACCGCCTGTTCACAGGTCAAAACACCGAACTAGAAGCTGGAGGCATTTGTTTTTCTTTATCCTTGCAGTACACCAAAAACAAACTAAGATTACCTAGTTCAGGTCACACAACCTTCTGTACAGTCCGAGCACTAATCCGGTGCTATCAAACACGTCAGCTACATTCATGCAAACTTTTTCGCCTTCGATTCATTCGGGGACCGAGTATCATGATCTACTTTGCACTTCTTCTCAAAGAATACTTTCATCCGAAACGGGCGAAACCGAGAATATGGTGTTTTGACAGGCCTAATTGGACGCTTGCGAGACCAGTCGACGTGCTACACGATTGAATCTCTAAACGAATCCGGCATGTAGAGCGAAAAGATCCAGCACATGTCTTGAATTGAATGGCAGCACCGAGACTGAATGGCGCGCTGTCGAACGCCGTGCTGCAGGTCATATGCTGTCAGACAGCCTCATTCGTATTACAATAACATAATCTTTACCGTGAACTAAGCTGAGGAGTCTTTTAGTGCACGGTTAAAAGTGTAATAGAGCTTCTTGATATATGATTCAACTCCAGGGACGAATCAATCTTATATCATATCATCTGAGAGTGGGAGCTCTTGCAAGTGGTCAGGCCTTCATGACGTGTACATCGCAGTCTTATGTCTTCTGAAAATTCGCGTCATTCTTATTGGTGTGTCGCAGTTAGAGTGAGTTGTGGGGTTCCAGATGTTTTGTAGAACATGGAGTAGCCAAACTGGTGGCTCATTTTTCCTGAACGCCTCTGGGAATGCCAAAAATGGAGTGAAAAAGAAGTCCATGGAAACCGACTGTTTTTGAGCCTGATGGGCTCTAAATCACTCGCAAGTTCGGCCAGTTTGCGGCCTATAGGGTCCTTATAAAGGTTGTACTGGTATCGGTGAGAAAAGTAGTCGCCAATGGGGTCTTACTTGTAGCACGTAGTATAAGGGTCGAGGGCTAGTTTGGAATGGGCTCCTAAGCAATCGATAGTGTAGCTGTGCCAACGATCGGATGGCCTAGTGGATAGTGTGGAAGGATTCTCAAGCAGACAGTGGGGATGGAGGATAATGGTTCGACTGCCCTTGGTTTACGAGTTTTTGCATTTTTTATTTTCCATTGTTGTCGCTTCCGTATATGTCTGTTAATGAATTTTACTGGGATATCTGCCATTTATAGGCACATCCTATATAGTTATAACCCCGTAGTCGTTGCTATCGAGCAATTTCGATTTCACATAACATTAAGCAAGAACTTGTCTGAAAGTTGAACTTTATTCGGTGCGTGGTCACGACTATGCATTTACTTTCAGCTCTAGTGCCATTTTTCTCTAATTTGGAGCCACGTCTTTCTCCCACTGGAGTCACTATGTACATTCGTTTGAGGGGCTTGCAGGGCCATTCTGACCCGCCAGATTGGGTTGACGTCAAGAATAAGTGTCAGAATCGTGATCAGGACCATCAATTCCTAAGCTCCTAAGCAATCGAAGTGGTAGCTGCGCCTAAACGATCGGATGGCTAGTGGATAGTGTGGAAGGATTCTCAAGCAGACAGTGGGGAGTGGAGGATAATGGTTCGCCTCCCTTTGTTTGCGAGTTTTTGCATTTTTATTATTCCATTGTTGTCGCTTACGGTATATGTCGCTTATGGTATAGGCAAACTTTCGGCCAAAAAAATTTTTTTGACTTTTTGAGTCTGTGCATTGGGTTAATGCTCAAGAGTCACTTTGTTGAATCGTACTTTTTGCTGGTTATCGAAACCCTCTTCAGCGGTACGGAGACAAAAAACTAGCAACAACCATAAACGGCCATCGAAAAAAAGAACAAAATAGTCACCATTCCTCCAGGTGCATTTGAAAAAGTGAAGAAATTCGATATGAGTCTCTCCTCTGGTAGGGGAGGACGACAT